GATTTGAACATTTTCTTTTTAAAAATGGTTCGGGTTGGTGGATATCCGTGAAATGATATTTATCACAATATTAAAAAGAAGCCAAAACTACAAATAAAATTATAAGAAGAAAATGATATCCCGAAAAACAAAAAATCATTTTTATCTTTGATGGAAATTCCATTTTTAAGAAAATTAGTTTGAGAGGCCGATTGAATTGATATGAAAAAGAAATTGGCCGTGATATATCAATATATAGTGTAAAATTTTGGTTAGGTTTAATTGTGTTTGTGAAATTGGATTAATAAATGATTTTGGCCGACTTTTTGAAGAACTTTGGTTAATAATTGATGATAATTGATTTGGGCTAATATGGTTATATGAAGAATATTTTTATGAATATTGGACTATTTTTTGTGAAATTGGGCTAACAGTATTTGTTTTTGGCCGATTTTTTGAAGAAGTTTGGTTTGGTGTGAATATTTAATATCCGGATTATATATACCATATATCGTATTATTGAATTATTAAAAAATTTCATCTTTTAGAATTTGAATTGAAGATTTCCATATTTAAAATTTTTGAATTAATGATGCGTAAATTTCGAATATTTGTTTGAATATTCGATTTTATAATTTAAAGGACTATTTGTATATTTTTTGTGGTGTTGATAATTCTTTTGGTAAAATCTAATTATTATTGATCTTTTTATAATTGTCTCTATATTTTATTACTCAGATTTTTTTGAAATTAAATATATTTATCCGATTTTAATTCAAGTTTGGTTTAAATATGATAAATATTTAAGTATGATAAATATATTTATCACGATATTGATTAAGAAAAATTAATCAATTGAAAAGGTTTGGTTTGCTCCTATTTTTTTGGAGTTAAATATATTTATCCAATTTTAATTCAAGTTTGGTTTAAATATGATAAATATATTTAAGTATAATAAAAATATTTATCACGATTTTAGTTAAGAAAAATTAATCAATTGAAGAGGTTTGGTTTGGTCTTCACGATTTTTTTAAGAGTTTGATATGAATGCCATATCATATTTTAGACAATGCCATGTCAAATTAAAATTGTGATTTTCGCCGATTTTTTGAAAAATTTTGGTTAATAATTGATTTGTGCTAATATAAAGAGGTTTGGTTATATGAAGAATATTTTTGTGAATATTGGGCCAATTTTTTTGTGAAATTGGGCTAACGGTATTTGTTCTGGCCAATTTTTTTAAGAAGTTTGGTTTGGTGTGAATATTTAATATCCGTATTATATATTCCATATATCGCATTATCTATTTATTAAAGATTTTCATACTTAAAACTTTTGAATTAATGATGCATAATTTTTGAATATTCGATTTTATAATTTAAAGAACTATTTGTATATTTTTTGTGATGTTGAGAATTCTTTTGGTAAAATCTAATTATTGTTAATCTTCCTATAATTGGCTCAATATTTTTTGCTCAGATTTTTTTGGAGTTAAATATATTTATCCGATTTTAATTTAAGTTTGGTTTAAATATGATAAATATTTTTAAGTATGATAAATATATTTATCACGATATTGATTAAGAAACATTAATCAATTGAAAATGTTTGGTTTGCTCCGATTTTTTTAAAGTTAAATATATTTATCCGATTTTAGTTCAAGTTTGATTTAAATATGATAAATATATTTAAGTATGATAAAAATATTTATCACGATTTTAATTAAGAAAAATTAATCAATTGAAGAGGTTTGGTTTGGTCTTCACGATTTTTTAAAGAGATTTTTTGAAGAGTTTGGTGTGAATGCCATGTCATATTTTTGATAATGTTATATCACATTAAAATTGTGAGAATGAATTTGGTGATGACATATAAACTCTTTTCAAGAAATTGCTTTCCAATTAATATATAAGGGATTGTTTATACGTTTATTTTACGTGATTGTGCTAAAAATATAATTATGAATTTACGTGTTTTGCTGATATAAAACACTGTTGAAATACATTAGCAATCAATTTACGGTTAAATTGTCTTACTGAAATGTAAATGGGATGTCTTTTTTGTTGTCGACAAAAATATAACCATTGATTTTATATACGGTGATTATTGAAAAAATAAAATAAAAAATGGGATGTCTTTTTTTGTTGTCGGCATAAATATGACCTCGTTTGAAACGAATAATGTAATTCTTCGTAATATAAGGCACAACGACGTGAAATATTATTTTTCTTTTAAGTAGTAAATGTATATATGAACAATTCCAATGACTAAAATCTTCGTATACTATATTTTGTGAAAAATTGAAACTACTGATATGAAAAATTGGCAGCTGGCATATTGGCATTTATAGTAATTGGAGAAAAAAAAAATAGCTACAACATTTGGATTTACGAGGTCAATAGTATATGTTTAACATAATTAAATTAGGTAGTGATAAAAAAAGGTATCAAAGTGAGACATGATGGCTTTAACTTGATTTGTCTTTGAATTTCAGTCATTATAATGATGATGGTTAAAGATATCATGGGTAATCTAATCACTAATCTATCACAACTTCACTTTGGTCCTTTTTCGCTTGAAATTGATTTGTCTTAAAAATGCAGTTATAGCCTTTTCATTTTATAGACTTTAAATTAATTAATTTCTCCCATATTGACCTTGCTTCACGTGGATTACCATTATTGTTTTTCTAGACAGCTGGCGAAACGGACGGTAAACTAATTATTGACAATGGTTGTATTAAGCATTCTACTAAGATTATATCAGTTGGACTGAATAAAA